ACTAGGCATCATGCAGACAGAGTAGGTAGGAGGAGCTGGTGGTAGGGTGAGTGAACGAGAGCTCCCATCAATACTTTTGAATTTGCCTTGAATTCACCGGCAAAGCATCTAAATATGGTGCGTGGCTTCAGATGCACTGAGACTTGGCCACTTTGAGCCATTCTGTGATTTCTCCTCTTAACTCCACTTTTTAGGAGAAAGATTCTACCTTACATCATTTATGCTCTCTCTCGTAATCCCCAAAGCTACACAGACCCAGGACCGAGGGCCCTTGTAAACTCTACTTTTCAGGAAAGCATCCTCTATCCTCTAAAAAATAGAAGATGAGAAAATTCCTGTCTCCACTTGACTATTCCCATTGGGCCTCTCACTGTCTACAGCAGAGGCCCAGCTACCAATGATTTTGATTCAATGAAGCTGACTGAGCCCAGGAATCTGCCTTTTCAAGAAGCACCCCAGTGATCCTAATACATTTCATCCGGTCTGCCAGGGACCTCTGAGTTTCCTTGACATCCTCTGCTTCCTGAACTAAAACTTGAAGGCGAAATTCCTTGCAGAACTCTGATCCTGCATGTACAACCAACTGCTGAGAGTGACTTCTTCATCTGCTGGATGACTTGGGGGTACCTATGCTCTCCGACCCCATGGCCAAACCAACTGTCCGGAATCAGCCACCTCCCCTGTGGAACACTCCATGGAACTCTGGGTCTTCTCGGCACCAGATCATCCTCCTCATGGGTGCCATACTAGTTTCTAGATCTACCTTTGTAAGCCTGCTCCTCTGCCCTCCCTTCCTCTAGTACTTACCCAGTTTCTTGCCAATTAAATGCAAGTGCCCGAGTCCTTCCTTTTACTCTGTTTCTTCCTGCTTCCTTTCCTTTCCTTTTTTTTTTTTTTTTTTTGGCTTGTTTCTATCACATTCTGTCTCCATGTCTTTGCTGAGGTCTCTCTAAAGGCCAAAATGTACTTTTCTAATCCTTTAAATCCAAAGAAGGCTGGTCCTAAACACAGTCCTCAGTAAAGAGCAAGGACTCAGCGATTCATCGTAACCGACTATACTTCAATTTAAAAAAAAGTTATAGCATCACTCAGCTGGTTCTCACCAAAAAAAAAAGAAAAAAACTAGAATAATCTCTGGCCTCAAGAGAATTAAAATCTCACTGTTAAGGCATACTATATATGTTAAAAAATAAGCATTATTTGTCTAAATATCTTATTATGCTACTAAACTTTGAGGGAAAGAAAAAAACAATTCTCTCGATCCATGCAAACCTGTAGCACTTTTCAGTACCTGGTATACTCCACTCACTTACAGTATCTGTATTTTGTCTACCATGAATGGATCAAGCATAATAGGTAACCAGACTTTCATGTGTATCCCAAAGGCCCAGAGCAAGGTCACCAGCACTCTGTGATTACTCAGTAAACACTGGTTGACTGGCTTCAGATCAGAACTAGGGTTTAACAATGCTAAGCCACCTGTTACTGAGGGAAGGAAAAGAACACCGTGCTATTTTCTTCAGAAGTTTTGTTTTGTTTGGGTTTAGGCTGGGCTACTTTTAAAAAGAAGTTAAAAGTTCCCCCACGTAGCCGGACACTATAAACATAAAGATAACAATCATGTGTCCCATCGCTCCAATCCACTAGAAACTCTTCCATGAGGACGGCAGTGCCTAAACTTTACTACATGATCACCTGGGGAGCACTGAAAATCCGGCTTCCTAGCTCACGCCCACCAGCAATGACATCCGACTGGCTGGGGGTGGGAGTTAGGCATCAGCCCTGCTTAACGATCGATCCCAGGGGATTTCACTGCACAGCCCTGTCTGAGAGCCACTACTTTCAGAAGTCCTTCTGCCTGGGAACATCAGAACTACTTTCCTAGTGGTGGTCAGATGGCCTGCATCTGTTAAGAGCTGGTACACATCATTAACAAATCCTTGGTAAACGGATGAAAGATCAGTTGATCAGACTCTCGTGTGTGCTGTAACTTCATGAACAAACAACTCTAAGGACAGGAAGAGTATGATCTGTAATCAATGCTAATACTGCAGTGACATGGGTTTGTTCTGATGCCAAAAGTACATAAACTGCTAACAGTCCCATGCAGGGGACTGTTATATATATACATCATTATGTTATGTATTATATATGCGTCATATATTATACATGTTATCTGCATATACTAAAAATGTTACCTTTTCTTAGGGTCCTGAGGACTATAGTAAACGGTAGACAAAATAAAAAATTAAAAAATGAATATATGTATGTTCATGTATGACTGAAACATTGTGCTGTACACCAGAAATTGACACAACATTGTAAACTGACTATACTTCAACAAAAAAAATTAAAAATAAAAAAAGTAAATGTTAGACACTTGTCTGATGCTTGGCAAATACTAAAGTGATGTCACAAATAAAGCTGATAAAAATATCAAATGTCATTTTTTAAAAAAACATGGCTAGGTAAAAGTTGCACTAACTTTTAATGAAAACATGTGAAATGGTAGTTTACAGACAGTGAGAGTCATGGTTAGAATGCTGGGAAAAAAGTGATTAGAAAATAACTCTTCAATCAGATCTCATCAGATGCCTCTGGACACGAGGCATGTAGACCCAGGAGTCACAGGCAGCAGTCACTGATGCTATTCACCAATAGCATTAGTTCTGGCCCTCTGCGTGCTCTCCAGGCTCCCGGTAGGGTTGTGCTATGTAGACTCTTTGGGGCTGAGTGGGGCTACGTGGCTCTTTCTGACCCATTAGCTGTGAGCAAACGAAACTCACTTCAAGGCCAGAGCACCCACTGGCAGGTCC